GTGATTTGGGTGGAAAACATTTGTGCCACTTTCTTGCATCCTCTACAGCATTTTAACCTGTACCATGTTAGCAGCGCTTCCACATGAGGAGTGCCGGAGTCCCGAGCAGTGGCCCACAGGAGGCTAAGGCAGGAGGACCGCAAGTTCAAGGCCAGTCTCAGCAATTTAGTGAGACTCTGCCTCAAAATAAAAAAATAGCTGGGCGAGGTAGAGCAYGCCTATAATCCCAGCTGCTCAGGAAGCTAAGGCAAGAGGATTGCAAGTTCAAAGCCAGCCTCAGCAAAAGTGAGGCGCTAAGTAACTCAGTGAGACCCTGTCTCTAAATAAAATACAAAATAGGGCTGGGGTGTGGCTCAGTGGTCAGGTGCCCCTGAGTTCAATCCCTGGTACATAAAAAAAAAAAAATAAATAAATAATAAAAAGGACTAGAGGTGTAGCTCAGTGGCAAATCACCCCAAGTTCAGTTCCCAGCACCGAAAAACAAAACAACTTACTGAACAAACCCTCATTTCTTTCTTTCTTTGTTTTTTCTTTTTTGCAGCACTGTGGATTGAACTCAGGGCCTTAGCACAGGCTAGGCAAGCACTCTACCATGGAGCTACATTTCCAGCCCTTATAAATCCTTATTTCACAGAAAAGGAAACAGATTCTCAAATGTGCCAGACTTGAATCCAAATCCACCTGGCACCAAGATCTGAGCCTTATTCACTCTCCTGCCCTCAGTCCTGTTTGGTGGTGAACCGACACTCCCAGCATCCTCAGGGGATTCTCCCATAAATCCCCTGAGGCTTGTCCCCAGCCCCCAACTTACAGCACCAGGTCTGTCAATCTAACCTGTAGCCCACTCTGTTTCTAGTCCCTTCTCTGCCCCTGGAGACTCCTTTAAACCTTGAGAGTCAAGAGGCACCAGCCTTGGAGAGGGATCAAACTCTAACTCTGATAAAGGCAGGTTTGGTGTCTCTCTGAGCTTCCTCATCTGATAAAACAGGGGTAATAAAGATTACTGCTTGGATTAAGGGAATGAAGTATGTGACCAGGGCACAGCCGTTAGCACAAGGAAGCACTCAACAGGGGCAGCCGTTATTGTTAGGACTCTTCCTGCTCCTTCCTCCCGACAGGCTCCCTGGCTGGACTTCCTCCTCTAGCCTCTCCTGCTCTAATCCACTCTCCTTGCTGCAGAGGCTCTGAGCTTTCTGAAACGTGTCACTATGATGTTAGTGTCCCGTCTAGAGGCTGCGTCTAGCTTTCCAGTGTCCCCGGGCTGAGTTCGTACTCCTTAGCCTGGAATTTGAGACCCTTCTCCCTCTGGCCCCCACGGACCCCTTTCGCCTCACCTTTTGAKACTCTCAGCCTCTCCGTCTACACTGGATTCCAAACAAACTTCCCCCTAGCCCCCAACACGCCTCCTGCCTTTTCCCCTACGGTGACTTTGTTTACCCCTTCCTTATTGGCCTGGGACAAGGCTCCTCATCTGCTTATAATTTGGGATTTGGAAAGCTGTCTTCCCTGAGACAGGCCTGCTTTGTCCTCCCCTCCTCTGGGCCTCGAGACTCCTGAGTTGCACAGCTCACAGCGTCTGTGGAGGCCAGCTCTTCCCTTGGCCACCCCACTGGCCTGTCAGATGGCTGTGACGAAATGCCCCGTGTAAAGCTAGTTTGATTCAATGTGGAATGAATGTGGAGCTGCAGTTTGAATCTTAAAATGGCAGCATCAGCAGTCAGGCCTGGTTAATCCAGAGGGGAGAGCTCACTGGGGCTGGAGGAAGAGGCTGTCATGGAAGGCTCCCTGGAGGAAGATGACTTGGAATGATAGGGCATCTAGAAAGGGCAAGAACAAGAAAGAAGGAGAGAGTGTGAGCAAACAGAGAGAGGGAAGGCTGGGGAGCCAAGCGGCCTCTGCTGTCACACTTGCTCCTTTGGCTTCAGAGCATGCAGAGTGGCCCCGCAGCCCAGTGGTGTGCACCCTTCATGGTCACAGAGAGAACTCACAGCCCTTTCTCGCATTGTTGGTGGGCACAGAAGCTGGACTGGGGGTGAGCAAATCTGAGGGGTCAGATCTGCTTGGGCTTGGGTTGCTGTAGCCAGGCCACCCCCTCCTCCTGAGCCTGTTCCCTGTCTATCACCTGGCGGTACCGATTGTTATTTATTCGGCCCCCATAGACCATAAGTTTTATGTCCCAGTGAGGACTATTAATCTTGTTGTTCTAATTATCAACAAGGCCCAGTGGTAGCTGCTAACAAACCACCTGGGAGTCCCCCATAACGTTACTCAAGGTCACAGTGGAAGGGGATCTCAAGGGGTCAAGGCCCCGGCAGACGGAGAGGCGTAGAGCTTGGGAGTTTAGTGCCACCAGGCTCAGCCCTGAGCTGGATGGGGAGAGGAAGGAGCCACTGCAGAGACCTGGGTAGGACGTCTGGGCTGGGCCAAGCTGCAAGGGCAAGAAGGCTAAGGGGATGTGGCCACAGGCCCAGCAGGGGCCCAGCTCCAGGAGGACGGGGTGTTGGGAGGAGGCGGTGAGGGCCCTTCACCCAGCTCTGAGAGGGGCAGTGAAGGAGGGAGCAGCTACTCTCTTTTTTCCCTAGGTTATGGCATGCTGGGCTGCCTAGCTCTGCTGCTGAGTTGCCAGCTGTGTGACTCTGACCAGGTCATTACCCTCTCTGGGCCTCCCCATCCCTTTGGCAAGAATAAGGGAGCTGGACCAGAAGCTCTAGACAGAGCTGATGGCCTCTTATTATATTGCAGGGCTGGACAGAAAGCCCTGAGATTGTCAGGATAGCCATGGCCCCATCTCTGCCTCTGGAAAATTAGGAGCAAGGTGCCTGTGCCCCACTGATGTGTTGGCTTTCTTGAGAGGGGTCAGAATTAATCCCTGGCCCAAGGAACCCCCAGGCCTAGAGAGAAACAGATGCGTATGTGCACAACAAGCCCCAGATAAGCTGGGCCTAGGCAGGCGGGCTTCAGTGCCTCTCCCATGCTGAGCCTTTAGGAGTCCTGGGCAGGGAGCAGTATATGGCGTCTGATGAAAGTGCCACCAGCTTTCTGTGTGACCTTGACCAAGTCTCTCCCCTTGCTGACTCATTTTTATTGAAAAACAGGGGACGTGGAGATTAGGCAACACTGTTTGCTTAAGGCTCTGGTGTTCTGGCATTGCCCAGCAAACTCTGCACCTTCATGGTCCCCGTGGGTGGTGGGAACAACTCCTTAGAATTACTTAGAGAAGTGTGGTTTGTATTTCTTTAGATGCTGTAAGAAAAATCTCCACTGACTGTTCCATTAGGGAAAACGTTCAGTTTAACTCATGTTAGCCCTTTCATTTATTAATTAATTTATTTTTAAAAGTCATTATAGAGGGTTTATTAGGTGTCAGGAAGCAAGTGTAAAAAACTTATGCTCAATGTGAAGCTTGGATGCCCAGAACTTTTTTTTTTTTTTTTTTTAATGAAAACAAGCCCAATCTCTCTCTTCCTTAAGTCATTTCTCAAAACAGCATTTTCCTAGCTATTTGCAGCCTCTGCTTAGTACTCAGTCCATCTGAATCTATTTTCAAATGCCCTCAGAACAAAACTGATTTGTAGCTGTCTCTGATGTCAATCTAAGAAATAGAGGAAAATAAAACCTTTCCCCTAATTTTCCATCTGGTGGAAATCAGAACTTCCAACTTCTCTAGGTAGCCTGAGCCAGGAAGCCTGGTTCTAGGACCAGCTCTGTCATGGGCCAGCTGTTGTCCTGGTGGCAACCCCTCCCCCTCCGATTCCTTCACTTGTGAGGAAAGGACATGGACGCCATTATCTGTGGGGCTGTTTCCACTCTTACATATTCTGCAACATGAGAAAGATTTTGTTAGAAGGAGAAGTCAAAGGTGGTGTTGGGAAAGCCCAAGGTGTCATCAGACTAGAAGTGGCAGTGTTCCAGAGGTCACATTACCTGGCCCTAGATAGCAATAGAGGGACAAGTCTTCCCTCAGCTCAGTTCTRTGGGTTGAAAAGTCTCACTTTAGAGGTCGTGGGCTCTGGGAATGCCCAGTTCATTTTCTGTTGCTATAACTGAATAGGAGGCCTGGACCACAGCCAGGTGGTCGCAGAAGCTGTGATAGATGTAGAACTGGGAAATAAAGAATAAAGGTTTATTCGGCTCGTGGTTCTGGAAGTCCAAGAGCATGGTGACAGCATCCGCTGGGCATCTGGTGAGGGCCTTCTGCTGGGTAATGACGTGATGGAGGGATCACAGTTGGGACAGAGCAACCTATTAACTCTTCCTTTTCTTAAAAGTCACTAATGCAACCATGGGGGTCCCACCCTCATGACTTCATCTGGTCCAAAGTATTACCCAAAGGCTCCGCCCCCAAATGCATATGACTTTGGGGGATGTCTCAACATGCATTTGGGAAGGGATAAATGACCATCGCATCCAGTAACCTTCTTCCACAGCCTCGGGTGAGAGGAATGATTCCCCGMAGTGGTTGGTCTTCTCTTGTGACACTGGCTCTACAACTTTTCAGCTCTCTGTGACGCCCTTTGAAGTAGGACAAAGACAGGAAGCTCTAGGGTCATGCAGGAAGCCACTAAACAGCGACATCTGCAGCAGCCAAGAGGAGGGCAGACCCACAGAGCGACTTGGCGGGATGTGGGGCCCGCTTCCCCGCCATGGGAAAATAGAATTCAACTTGAATGCCATGAGGGGACAAAACTCCTTCTATCAAGGACATATAGCAGTACAAAGTCAGCCCTCTGGGGGTGTCATTGGTCTGGGAAACCGAAGGACTTTCAATGTTAAAACCAGGACAGCTCTGGGCAAATCAGGATGGCTGATCACTGTACCATATGACAAGGGACTAGATACAAAGGCAGGTCCCAGGGCACCCAGGTAGTGTGAGACAGACACAGAGAGGTCCAGCACAGGGACACAGAAGGGGAGTCCAGTTGATAAAGATAGCACAGGACAGGGGTCCTCAAGAGGATGTACAGACAGAGACCAAGGGCTGACATGGCATCCCTGCCCAGATGGAGCTAGAGGATGGAGTGGGACACAGAAGAAGAGGACTTGAATCCAAAGCAGAGCAGAAGTGGCTCTTCTGGCCATCCCTGAAGGAACCCTCCAATTCCTCAGAGTTCATGGGCACAATCCTTATGGAGGCTGTGGATAGTCCTGGAGGCCTGGAGGAGAACCTCCAAGTAAACCGCATGGCGCTTTTCTCTAGGACCTGACCTCACGCACACTCAGCCAGTGCATCTGTTGATTTCAGAAAGTCTTGAGTTAAAGAAGTCCATTCAGGAGCTGTGAAGAGCTCCCTGGACTGGATGGGCATGTATTCAGTGACTGTAGTCAAGAGCACGGTGTGACCATGGGCAAAGTCTGGGCTAGTGACTGCTCAACATTTCTATGCCCCGCATGTTTCTTCAGCTGTGGCTGCAGCACCAGCCTAAAACATCAGGTCCCCTTAAAGGAGCTACTTGATTTTATGGTTGACATTTAAACATTGGAATGGATCCATCTCAAGTCTTTTTCTCATTTGACTTCCAATCTCGCAATATTAGGAATGTTGTTCATGCATGAAACTTTTTTGTTTGTTTTAGAACCATTAAATCTAGGTTTAGAAGGCTGCTTAAAGGTTTTAATCTAGCTCCTATCCAAGTATTAGATCTCTCTGTAGCATCCAAAACACTCCACCCTGCATACATGTTGTTACATGGAATCCACTGATTTCCAAGCTACCTTCTGCCTTATGCAATAGTTCTGATGGAAGGAACCTTCTTCCCTCTGTGGGCTGCACTCTGGGTCCCTGAGTCTGCTGCCACTCTTGGTAAGTGTCCTTCCTTCTTCCCATACCCTTAAGGCATTTGCATGCACCTCCTTTCCTCACTTAACAGGACCACCTCTCTCAACCATGGCTGTTGGACACTTCACAATCTGGGCATCTTAATTGTGCAATGAAAATCCTGACACAAAGAAAATGTTGGATTACCATCTGTGGTTGGAAAGAAAAAAAATGCACATGGTAATTAAAGTATCCCTGATGTGTCCAGACATGTCCTACTGTACCCAGTTCTGTCTGTAGACACAGGGCTGTGTCTGATCCGCTGTAGGAGACACTACTTGTGATGGATCAGAGGCCTCCTCAACTGTCTCTGCCTGGTGGGCATTCCCTCTCTAAGAGTCCCTCTTCCCTCCCCGTCTTCTTGATTTTATTCTTAATCTACCTGCTCATCCAGATGGGTAACGCCCTGCTCCCAGTGGCTGTGCTGGCAGAGGCCAGCCTTCACAAGCCCCGGTGCATCTCTCTCTCTCACTCTCATTCTCTCTCTTTTCAATAGTGGGGATTGAACCCAGGGTGCTCTACCATTGAGCTACACCCCCAGCCCTTTTAATTTTTTTTTGTTTTGTTTTGTTTTGAGGCAAGGTCTAGTCAAGTTGCCCAGGCTGGTCTTGAACTTGCATTTCTCTTGCCTGCCTAGTCTCTGGGATTGCAGGTGTGCACCAACACTCCAGATCCATGCATTTCCTTCTGATCAACCTTCCCAGTCCTTGTAACCACTATCTCCAAAATGCTGTCCCTATTTCTGTTGGGGATTGCTTCTTCTGTTTCTCCACCTACTTCTAGCAAATGTAGCTTTGCCACAGCTACTGCTGCTCAGAAGCCTTCCTCCTGGTGGTCATGGCCCATGACTGCTATGTGGCTGTCTGTCGCCCACTGCACTCTCCCGTCCACATGACCCCTCACATCAATGCTGCACTGGTGACCAGTGCCTGGCTCACCGCCCTCCTCCTGCCCATCCCAGCAGTGGTCCAGACCTCCCAGATGGTATATAACAACACTGCCTACATCTATCACAGCTTCTGTGACCACCTGGCTGTGGTCCTGGCCTCCTGCTCCAACACCACCCCCCAGGCCCTCATGGGCTTCTGCATCGCCATGGTGGTCTCCTTCCTCCCCCTTCTCCTGGTGCTTCTGTCCTACGCTCACATCCTGGCCTCGGTGCTTTGCATCAGCTCCCGAGAAGGACATTCAAAAGTCTTCTCCACCTGAGGTGATGGTGGACATCCTCTGTAGTTTGAATATTGGGTACACCACAGAGGCTTTGTCCCTAGGGTGGGGCTATTGGCAGTTCCATGAACCTTTAGGAAATGGGGTCTTGTTGGAGATTCTGAGGTCATTGGGGATTGTGAGACCCTGGTCTCTCTCTCTCTTTACTTCCCTAATCACTTTGCTCCCACACAACCTGCTATGAATGCACCACCCTTGCCAGAGATCTAAACTGATGATGCCACTTCATCTTGAACTGGAAACTCCAGAACTGTGAGCCAAAATACACCTTTCCTTTTATAAATTAATTGTCTCAGGCATTTTGTTATCATAACAGGAAGCTGACTAATACAGCGCCTGCTATTCATCCCTTGCCATTGCCAACATGGCCTATAGAGCCCACCTGCTGAGAATGCTCTGTGCCATTCTCATGCCTGTGCTCAATCCTCTCCGTTACATGCCGAAGGACTTTCATTTGCAGGCAGCAACACGGAAGAATCTCACTTAGTGTTGAGCAAATTAAGACTCAAAATGATATAGTACTCATCAGTTATATAAAGTTTAGGACCAAGCAGAACTAAACTACTTTTTTAAAATCAATGCTTACAAAGGTCATAAACCATGAAAAAAGAATAACTATCATAAAAACCAGAATCGTGATCACTTTTAGGAGAGGAGGAGGGTTGTAAGCTTTGAGAAACCCCAGGGGCTTGTGAGGTATTACCAGTGTTCTGCCTGAATGGTGACACAGGGGTTTGTTTTAAATGAGACTGTACACAGTGGTGTGTTGCTTAACAGGGATAAGTTCTGAGAAATGCGTCACTGGGGGATTGCATCACTGGGCAACATCACAGAGTGTGGCCAGCTACACCCCAAGGCTATAAGAAATGTATTGCTCCTGGAGAAAAGATGAGCAAGAGCATGACATTAAATAAAGTACCAGAGAATATGATGCAATCAAAAGAAGATATAAATACAAAATACAGGGGGCAGCCTCCAGAGCAGCCCAGCACACTGGTCACAGTAAACTTTTTTTTTTATAAGTAGGACTATACACTAAAATAACTATTTAAGAGTATAGTAAGTACCTAAAATGGTAACAGCCATTTATTAGCATTATCAAGCATTATTTTGTATAATTGTGTGGGCTACACTTGTATACAGCTGGCAACACAGAAAGGTTGTTCACACCAGCCTCACCTCAGACCCAGGAGGAAGATGTGGCATTATGACCCTCTGATAGCTATGACATCACAAGGCAAAAGGAATTTTAGGGCCTCATTAGAATTTTGGGGTTTTGTTGGTTGGTTGATTGGTACCAGAGATTAAACTCAGGGGTGCTTAACCACTGAGCCACATTCCCAGCTTTTTGAAATATTTTATTTAGAAATGGTCTCACTAAGTTGCTTAGGGCCTCCCTCAATTGCTGGGGTTGATTTTGAACTTGGGATCCTCCTGCCTCAACCTCCAGAGACACTGGAGGCATATATCACCATGCCTGAGTTAAGCAGTCTTTATTGAACTTTTGAGCTCGAGGCCCAGAATAAATCAGAACAGTCACTGCCCTCAAGATGCTCCCAGTCCAGGGAGGTCACAGATGTGGGTGCAAGTAGCGCAGGTGTTTGTGCTGAGGGAAGCAGGGTGGAATCCAGGGATGGCGGGAGGGGAAGTTGGTGTTCAGTCACAGTAAGCATGTCTCTTAGGAATGTTTCAGCCCATGCCTCCTTCTACTGCCTGTTCTGAGTCACAATTATCACTATTTTAAGTCAAAACAATGAAACAAGGCGCAAGAGTATCATTTCTCTAACTATGTTTTATTCTTATTTGTTATACATGACAGCAGAATGCATTTAAATTCATAGTACACATATAGAGCTCAATTTTTCATGTCTCTGATTGTACACAAAGTAGAGTCACACCATTTGYGTCTTCATACATGTACCTAGGGTAATGATGTCCATCTCCATCTTTCCCACCCCCCAATCCCCCTCCCTTCCCCTCCATCCCCTTTTGTTCTATCTAAATTTTCTCCATTCCTCCCATGCTCCCCACCATCCCTATTATGGATCAGCATCCACTTATCAGAGAAAACATTCAGCATTTGGTTCTTTGGGATTGGCTAACTTCTCTTAGCATGATATTCTCCAACACCATCCATTTACCTGCAAATGCCATGACTTTGTTCTCTTTTAATGCTGAGTAATATTCCATTGTGTGTATATACCACAGTTTCTTTATCCATTCATCTAATGAAGGGCATCTAGGTTGGTTCCACAATTTTGCCTTTGTAAATTATGCTGCTATAAATATTGATGTGGCTGTGTCCCTGTAGTATGCAGTTTTTAAGTCTTTTGGGTACAAACTGAAGAGTGGGATAGTTGTGTCAAAAGGTGGTTCCATTCCAAGTTTTCCAAGGAATCTCCATACTGCTTTCCATATTGGCTGCACCAATTTGCAGTCTCACCAGCAATGTATGAGTGTGCCTTTTTCCCCACATCCTCTCCAACACTTATTGTTGTTTGTATTCTTAATAGCTGCCATTCTGACTGGAGTGAGATGAAATCTTAGAGTAGATTTTCTTTTTTAATATTTATTTTTTTTAGTTGTAGTTGGACACAATATCTTTATTTATTTATTTATTTTCATGTGGTGCTGAGGATCGAACCCAGGGCCTCGTATGTGCTAGGCAAAAGCTCTTATCGCTGAGCCACAACCCCAAGAGTAATTTTGATTTGCATTTCTAGCATATATTCTTGAGGTAAATAAAATACTTACACCAAATTCTTACTTGGGACTTTCTGTTTATATTTCAAATAGCATGGTTCATTTTAATCTCTTATTCTCCCCTTACTTTTTCTTAAAAGTATCTTCCCAGACTTGTTCACACTAACATTACCTAGTTTCACTTTTGAAGACTTAGTTATTTATAACTAGATTTTTTCCCTAAGTAATATGTTTTAAATTTTATCATTAAAGTCATAAAATCTCTGTCACTGAATGCTACTTCCACATACATGAAAAATCAGACCGCTTACTCTGAAAGAACCAATGGATCAAAGAAGAAATCATCAAGAAAAATTAGAAAGAAATGAAAACAACCTACTATAACTTAAGGGATGCAGCTAAAATAGTAACTAGAGAGAAAATTATAGCTGTAAATGTCTACGTTATAAAGAATAATCTCAGATCATTAACCTTTCATTTTAAGAAATTTGAAAAGAACATCAAATAAAACTTGGAATCAGGTACAAAATCAGAGCAGATAAATGAAACAGAGAATATATAGAGAGGATTCCAATTACTAAAATAAGCAGTAAAATGAGGGGCTATTACTTCTCATCATACGGAGATAAGAAATGTTAAAGGAAAAGACCACCACTCAACATCTGAAACAAGCCTAAACAAGCCTGTAATTCCAGTGGCTCGGGAGGCTGAGGTAGGAGGATCAAAATTCCTCTCTTGAATAGAGGGAGTAGACACAGAGATGCTGAGCAACTAGTGAGACCCTGTCGCTAAATAAAATACCAAATAGGGCTGGGGATGTGGCTCAGTGGTTAAGGGCCCCTAGGTCCAATCCCCCAGTACCAAAAATAAATAAATAAATAGAATCTGAAACGAAGAGCTGGGTTTTCACTGGCTTCTTTGTGGAGATGCTACGGTTTTCAGCAGTCTGTTTCCTAGTGACCCAGGGAGCTGCTCCTGTACAGGGCTGTGGAAACATGGACATCAGGGGAAGCTGGGCTTCGGGCAGTGCTGTTTAAGGACTGGTCTGCCTTCACTGTGGAAGCGTGGTGACAGAGGGAAGACATTCTGAGTGACTTTGGGACGTGTGTGAGCTGACATGAAGCTGTCATTGAACAATAATCAGGTTTAAAACAAGTTCTGATAAGTATTTATTACCATGGCTACAGAACAACCAGTCATTTCCTAGAAATAGGAGAACAATTTCATTCTCAGAGGTAATAAAATTGTATTTCATCCTATGACGCAATAATAGCGGTTCTTTAGAAGGTTAGCTTTTTCCAAAGAAGTCTCCCCCAACATTTTTACTCTCCTATTTTGGTTCATTTCCTAATAGAAAACTCAGTAAAATAAGAACCCTCTTAAAAAGGGATCTAAACTTGGATTTTGTTTGATTTTCTCTACTTTCCACAATTCTGTCAATGGTCGCACTCCATGTGGGTTCTTCTGGCCCAGGCACCCAACTCTTTTTATCAGTTTCAGCCACACATCCCCCAAAGCCTTTAGTCATTCTTGTGCTGCCAAAAAAATGCCCTTTAAAAGTTTATTAAAGATCTCTGGGGCTGGGGATGTGGCATGTGTGCGGCCCGGGTTCAATCCTCAGCATCACATACAAACAAAGATGTTGTGTCCGCCGAAAACTAAAAAAATAAATAAATAAATATTAAAATTCTCTCTCTCTCTCTCTCTCTCTCTCTCTCTCTCTCTCTCTCTCTTTAAAAAAAAGTTTATTAAAGATCTCTATTATATCTGAGAATTAGGAAGCAGAACAAAAAAATTCCACCCATCCATCTGGCAATTCTGCAAGATTCTTTGCTTTTAACTGAAGAGTGGTTAGATCTTCACCCCCTAAAACACTTTCTGTATTTACCTTTATGGTACTAAAGCAAAGATCCATACACACATTTAGCCCAACCCAAAATTCCTCTCTTGAATAGAGGGAGTAGACACAGAGAAAAGAAGGTGGTACACATAGTTTCTGCTTGTTCCAAACCATCTTCAGCTCCATCATGAACTTCACTAGATCAAAAGGAGAGCAATCTCTGCCCTGCTGCCAATAGTTTAGTAATCCCAGTTTGCCATTGTAAATCTACAGTCACCAGAGGTCTATTATGGAAATCTCTGCTGCGGACTGAAATGAACCCCTTGTGCATGTTTTTCTCCTGGTTCTGGGCAGAAGCATCAGCCCCTGGTGTAAGAGGGTCATGACAATCATTGCTGAAACTTGATGTTCCCAAAGTCTTTACATACGGGTCAGATGG